ACGCCAGCACTTGGTCACCTGCTTGAAAATGTCTGGACTTCACTTTGCGATCAAACAGTCTCTGCATCTTTCTCGGAGATTTGGCTAACTTCCGCAGAGCAATAGCTCTAGCTTCGTAAAGTCGATAACGGAAACTACTCACATAATCTAAAACATTCTCAGGAGGATCCAGATTCGTCCACTCATCTGCCAAGACAGCAATAGGACCCCTAACAGTGTGTCCAAACACCAACTCATTAGGGCTAAAGCCTATGCTCTCCTGTACAACCTCACGAATAGCGAGCAGCATCCAAGGAAGTCCTTCCTCCCAGTCACAGTCAAGTTCGACACAATAAGACCTCAACAGTGACTTAAGAGTCTGATGGAATCTTTCCAGACATCCTTGACTTTGAGGATGATAAGCACTCGATATATTATGTTTAACTTTAAGTTGTCGCATGACCTTAGAAAAGTTTCGGGACATACAATTTGAACCCTGATCAGACTGAATAGTTTCCGGAATGCCAAAAGTTGACATAAAACTGGTTAAAGCCTTTAAAATAGCTTTGGAAGTTATGGATCTCAGAGGATAAGCTGCAGGATAACGTGTAGTCTGACACATTACGGTGAATAAATGAAGAGTTTGGTTCCAAAACGCGATAAACGCCATTTTTAAAAAAAAATTAGTTACTGCAAAAATCAGTATTGTATCTGGTTGGTATTGAAAAGTCAATGTTTAATTTTAAGTAAAATGTGATATCCGCCGTGTTATTCTGTCATGTTTTCTCCCTTTCTTTCCAAACCGCGACAAACGCCAGTCTCCCTTCTCTGCAGAATGCGATATATCCGCTCTCAACCAATCACAACGCACCATTCCACGCAATGTAAACAGTAACGGCAGCGCCTTAAATACACCCTGCTTCCAGTTCTTCTTATCTATTTTGTACTTTTCGATCAACAAACAAACAAAAAAAATGAATAATTTTGACGGCATTGATGAACCTGTGGTTGTTTCTGCAGTGGGTAAGAAATGTAAGGCATCGAAATCGAATCATTTATGTGAGGAGATTAGAAGATGAGGCACTCGGGAGGAGGAAAAATGTTTTCAATCTTCTTTATAGTTCTTAATAAAAATATTATACTAATAAACTTACGTTGTTGTGTATTTTCAACAGTTTCAATATGAAAAAAAAAACTTTTATATTGATTCAATGGATTAATTGCATTTAAAAAAAAAAGAAAAAAAAAAGAAAAAAAACGGATTTATTGCATTTTGGGGAAAAAAATAATCAGTTTTTATAATAAATCTTTGAAAATCAAAACCTGGATTTTAAATTTTTTTTTTATTATGACCTATGCTATGTGAAAGTTTGAAACAGAAAATAGTGGTTTTCATCTTTCCACTTTCTTGGTAAAGAAAACACATTTTTACTCAAATTAATCTAAATGGATTTATTGCGTTTTGAAACCAAACTCTTCAAATATGCATGTCCAGCCTTAGATCTTGGTAACGGACCAACACAATCAACAGTCAAGTGTGCAAAAGGTGTTGTAACTGCTGCAATAGGCTGTAAGTGAGCTAAGGGAACCTTTTGATTTGGCTTACCTGTCATCTGACAAGTATGACAGGCTCGAATATAGTTAATCACATCTCGCTTACACCTAGGCCAATAAAATTCTTAACACTCTATCATAGGTCTTTCGTACCCCCATATGACCAGCCATGCCCTGATGTGATAATTGTAGGAGGTCTTGACGGAAATTAAGTGGAACCACGATTTGGTGTGTGAAAAGTCAAAGCTCATAGGTTGTTGTCTATAAAGCAATCCATCTCGAAGAAAATAGAAGGGAGAAGTCTTGTCTTCTCTTTCACAAGCTAAAGAGAACAATTCTTGCAGAGTGCCAACCGCCTGCTGTGCTTTGATAAGGTCATCTCGAGTCACACTATAAAGCGGAGATAAAGAGCAGGATATGTTATCATGGTCATCACAGATAAGTGGACATTCTGACACTATATCAGACTTAGTCTCATGGTTATCAACAGCATGTGAATCATGCACTGGAATCACATCTTCCACATCCGTACACACAGTATTTCATTCTGGCTGAAAGGAATTTTCAGAAACAATAAAAGTATCACAGAGAATATTTTCATCTGGCATACTTTTCTTAGCCATCGCTCGAGTTATTGCACATGCAGGGTATAAATTTGGACAGTCAGAAGATCCATCCAATTTATCAACAACAGAAACCACTACAGGTGGAACACCAGCGTCAGACTTTTCCCAAACATTTCCCCCGGCCAAATCATTTCCAAGTATGAAAGTGACACCTGAGACAGGAAGCATAGCACGAACTCCAACTACCACCTCACCTGACACGAGTTTAGAATCAAGATGAATGCGGTGTAGAGGAACTTCCATGAACCCCATCTCAAGTCCTCTAACCAGTACATGAGTTCCCGTATCAGTACGTTCAGACAACGGCAAAAGTCCTTCTAACAAAAAGGATTGCCCCGCCCCAGTATCTCGTAAGATGCGTACAGGTACAGTCTTATCTGAATTAGGCAAAGCCACGGTTCCTTCAGTGAGAAAGGGTGCAAAATCAACACAATTTTCCCCATTCTCCTTCCCAGTAATATCTACCCGTTCAGCCGCTTCATTATATCGAGCAGAAATATGATTCACATTCGATGTAGATATTAAACCCACAGGTTTAACACCCTTTTCTTTCTTTTTGAGAGCGAAACAGTCTGCAATTTTATGTCCTACCTTCTTACAGTAGAAACAAACCATCTCAGCTTTCAAACGTGAAGTATTATCAGTACTATTTGACACAGTATTCTGGCGTGAAACCATCTGTTTAGATCTACCAGTAACACTCAACTTAGGCCTGCTCAAATCATTGAAGTTATTGACAGAAATTTTATGAGTAAGAACAAATTCATCTGCCATAAGAGCAGCATCGGACATTTTACTCGCTTTATGCTCATTGAGATACATAGCAACAGCATTTGGAACACAGTTTTTGAACTCCTCTAAAATAATCAGTTCTCTAAGTGGTTCCTTGGTGGTTACTTTTACTGAGGTACACCAGCGGTCAAACAAATTCTCTTTCTCTCTAGCAAACTCAAGATATGTACAGTTTTCAGCCCTAAAGTGACTTCTAAATTTCTGGCGGTATGCTTCAGGTGCCAGTTCATAAGCATGCAAAATAGCAGACTTAACAATTTCATAGTCACCACTTTGGTCCATTGTCAACGCTGAATAAACTTCTTGAGCTCTTCCTACTAAAACACATTGCAACAGTAAGGTCCAAAATTCCTTTGGCCATTTTAAAGACTCTGCAACACACTCAAAATGTTGGAAATACTTCTCTACTTCCTTCTCCGAAAACAGCGGCACAAGTCTAATGTTTTTGTAAACGTCAAAACCAGGTGCAATTAACACAGTTTCCACAGACGATGCATGACGTGGAGTTTCAACTGTTTGTGCATGCAACTCTAATTCCATTTTCCTCAACTGAAAATCTCTTTCAGATTGTAACTCCAGTTTTCTCATTTCAAGATCACTTTCTTTCAGTGCACAACCGTCACGCTCAGCACATAATTTTTCCGCATCCACACATAACGGTTTCTCTTGCAAAGACATCTCACTAAATTTCACATTTCTATCGGCAGCATAAAGAGGAGAGGTTAAAGACTCTTCAGGATCAATATCTTGAGCTCTTACCTCTAAAACACCCCGCTCAAAAAGTGCTTTAAGCTTCTTATCATTACTTGTTACCTCCACATCAAAGCGCTCGGGAATCTGCAACAACTCTTCCTTCGTGCATCTCTCCAATAAGATTTCCGAAGGAAATGAGAAGAAATCCTCGATCACCGACGACATTTCTGTTAAAAGAGGCAGCAGAGAAACACAACAGCAATACAACCACACGCGTGCGACGCCACTAAACTAGAGCACTAGAAATACAAATCCCATCAGCCACTTCGCCCGGAGTTGTCACCCACACATGCTCCAGTTAGGATCCGCACTTTCGTTATGAGATAAACAAAGACTTACCACAAGTCATCTCAAATTATCTTCATAATCAGCAGACATATAAAATATGCAGATGCAGAAAACAAAAAGTGTCACCCTAAATGAAAATGAGAGACTCCAGTTCCTAACTATAAACAACACTAACTAAACCTACCTAGTCTTCAAAGGTGTACCGGACTCGGGGCGGTATTTAAACGCTGAGCTCAAGGACAATTGGCGTTTTAAACCAAAAGCCTGAAGCGTACCCCCAACAGAGATTTAAAACCCCCGTCCAGAATAACCTTCAAAAATAAGAAAGGCAAAATAACAGAAAAAAAAAAAAAAAACAGTGCCTCGACGGAAGAGTTTTAAACCCAGCTGAGAACACTCTAACTACCTGAAGTCTACTCATGCAAAAAGAGTGAACACCTTAAACACTATGTATTTACTTACACATGCAGCATCCAGGACGAGCGCCCAATTTTATGTTACGACCCGCTAGTATCAGGCCGTAACACAAAAGAGGATTCAAACAGCACGTTGCAATCAAAAAGAGTTTTATTAGATTAAACATACAACCAAAAACAAAAATAAACAAAAGTCTAGGGATAAGGAAAAACAACAGGTTAACAAACAATAATATCTTGACGCTACATGTGTAAGACAAATACCCGGAGGAGCCACTCCTAAGGAGAGTTTCTCCAAAGAGTGCCCTCCTCTAAGAAGGCACAGCACTCTTTATATGCTCTAACTAATTAGCAATTAGCATGAGGAAAAACCAATCAGGAACTCCCACGGCTGGACCAATAGGATCAGAGGACTCAGGGACGTCACAATCCCCATATAATAAACAACACATATTCTCCTCAACTGGCTGGCCCTGAACCAAATGGTTAATTTTACATATAACCCCGTTTCTTTTTGTCCCTATAGATCTTGATCTGGATATTAAACATTTGTTTGGTGATCTTCTGCGCAGAGAAGACAGACAGAGAGAAAATGAATAACTTCACAGTGAACTTCACATCTGCTGTTTCTACAAACTCCCTCTTCCAGTCCAGTGGGCTACTGGCCAGTGTGAGGCATGTTGTACACAGCATCAATTTCCTGTTTGGTCTTCCTACACACTCATATGTTATATGGCTCATCATCACAGAAACCGGAAGTGGAGTCGCATCAGGATTCTTCAACCTCAATCTCTCTGTTTGTGAGATTGTTAACTGTCTGAACTCTTTGTTCTCTGCACTTACTTATTTTCCTTGGCTTTCAAGTCTAACAAACGTAACATATTTTTTAATAGGATCTGCCATCACTGGTCGTCCTCTGTTTCAGTGTCTGATCTGTGTTGAGCGTTACCTGGCAGTGGTTCATCCTGTAACCTTTCTGAAGTTCAAACCTCTCAGATATAGAGTGATCTGCTGCACTGCGGTCTGGATAATCACTTTTGGCTCCTGTTTGTGCTGCATGTTTACTTTAGTCTTACTTCACTTTTATATTTATGCATGCATTAACTCGTTTGAGTTCCTCCTCTTCCTCTTCATCCAGTTGTTTTGTCTTGTGGCTGTTCTCAGAGCTCTGAAGCAGTCAGGACCAGGAGAGAGAGGGAGAGAGAGAAAGGAGGAAAACCCCATGAAGAGAAGAGCATTACATGTCATTGTAATAACTACTGTGAGCATGGCTATTATATATATGCCATTTACTCTCTCAGGATTTGTGTACGTGCTGACACTAAATGCTGATGAACCTTTATCTGTTGGTATTATTTGTTTCATTCTGGGTGGTTTTGTGCAGCCTGTTCTTTATCTGAACCGGGCTGGAAAACTCTCCTGTCTCTGTTCCCCATATAACCCGCAATTGTGATACATTACAAATGACTTATCATTATTTTTTTATTTGATCATTTTTATTAATGGATGGGAATTTGTAAGTTGCCATTTCTTTTCATTTCAAATGAAACGTCTTATTTCTTTATATTAGTGTTTATGCCAGAACATGTAATGCAATGCTCTATGTATTTTGAGAGATTCTCAATGACAAAGATAGTTTTCCATTTTATTTACGGTCAGATTAAATTGGAAGAGTTTAAATGCATTTTCTTTGAACACAGAACATTAAAAGGAAATGTATATAAATACATAATATATAATCCGCAGATTTTTTATATCTCGAACGGTTTGGCCGTGGCGAGAAAACAAAATTATGGCGAGAAAAGAGAAACAGGAAGTGTTATAACTTCTGCATACATAAACTGATCTTGATGAAACTTTAGCAGTGTGTTCGTGGTAAGAGGCCGATCAGATGAATGCAAATATTCTGAGTCAAAGTTATAGCGCCACCAACTGGCAGCAGGAAGTGTGTCACTTTCGAAATGCTTTTGACAAAAGTGTCAAACTTAGTTTTACCTACAGTAACAAAACTCAGTATGTATATTGTTCTCATCAAGCCGGACAACTTTCTAATTTACAGTCATTAGCCCCGACCAACAGGAAGTCAGATATTTTGGTTTGAATGTGGATTTTTTTTTTTTAAATATTTCAGACTCTGAGTTTTTAGCTACTCCTCATAAGTGGTTTATTTTATTCACACCAAACTTTTTCAACATGATGAAAATACATTAAAGATGCTAAATTGTGAATGGCTATTGAACATCTTCACATTGGGACACAGCTACAGTAGGAGTGCTATCGTGGCGTAATAATCTGTTTGGTTGTTAAATGTATTACCTGAATTAAATGAAATCGAATGTATCGTCATGTGGAATCATTCATTCAAAGATAGCATACGGAGATGTTCAACTAATAAATATCTTCATTGCTGGCAAACAATATGATGCATTTGCAGATTTGTTTTCACTTCACTGTAGGTCCACGGCCACTTCATCCAACACTCTTGATGTTCTTAAATCTTCCTGTTACGACTCTGAGTATGAAACCGCTTCAGACAATTCAGTGCGTGAAGTGCAATTCAGTGCAAATCCTTCAAACGGATTTGCGAAACAATTTAGACAGATCTGCCAACTTCTTTGATGAAGTCTTTGAACAGAATCGACTCAAAAGAGTGATTTGGGAATTGAGCATCGCTCATGCCCCAGAAAAAAGATACAGGGCGCTTGTAATAAACTACGAATTTAACAACCAGTGTTGTGCAAGTTACTTCCAAACTGTAATACATTATATATTACTTGTTACTGTTATTTAAAAGTAATTCATTACCTTACAATATTACTGTCTCAGAATTGTAATGCGTTACATTACTCCTGTATTACTTTTGAGTTACTTTCACCAAAATAAGTAGAACTTAACATTCTAAAATGACTAGGGCTGTAACGATACGCAATATGAAACCGAAATCGCAGATCCAATGCCACCACATCTTTAAATTACAATTAGTTTTATTTGAAGTTAACATTATGAAATACGTAGACCTACACCACAAAACTAGTTGAGGATAAATTATTTAAAATTGGGGAATTCCAGCGTTTTGGACGTGACATTTGCAGTCAAAACTTGAAATCTAAATTCTCAGAAAATGCATTTAATACCAAAATATTGAAACGTCTGTTTATCCATAGGCTCCTCCCTGAAAGGAGTCCAGACATTAGAAAAATATCAGTCTACACATGCGTTTTATATTTAATATTAGGGAAATAGACAGTCATGCGTGACAAAAAAATCTTTAACTTTTAGGAGACAAAATATCTTTTTTTTTTAATTCTGTGAATTACACTGCGCAAATCGGATGAAGAAGGTTTGGCTCTCCACAGAACATTAAATATTCTTTTTTTTCTTTTTTTTTTCGTGTTCGCATTTATGAGGAAAAAACAATGTTACAGACGTGACAGTTCTCCGTTACCGAAACTCAGCGTATAAGGTAGCCTACTTCACGGACCTGAGAAATATATCTATATTGAAATGTCTACTTGTAAACAGTACAATTCAAAACGAAAGAAAACGGACTGCTCCCTGCCTATCTGTATGGAATGTGCATTTCTCTCTGGCGCATTCACTAGCCTACTGCGAAGATCACGAGTCAGCATCGTCAACTTCATCTTTATTAATAAACAATTAAAATGTCTCCTTGCTATATTTGACATTCATAATCATTGCTTTTGCCGGTTCTTTGTGAGAGCTTTTAGGTGCTTATCGGCAGCGCCGCCGCCCTTAACGCGTCACCACCGCATCAAAAACATGATTGCGTGATGAAAACATGAAAAATACCACATAAACACATAGACAGTAAAAGAAATGGACAGAGCGATCTCATTGGAACTCAGTTGAGACAGTTGAAGCCCACTTATAGCGATTTTTGAGAACTTCCGTTCCTGACGCGCAGACTCAGCCCGACTCAAACTAAGCTTGATGACGTGAGCAACCTGTCTGACAGACGTGAATCTTCTAGTAGCTGTGCGTGAGAATTGCCAACGTTAATCTTGCAGAGACGGGGAACTTGAGCAAAGAGTCCTTTATCGTGAGTGAGCAGGAGTAAGTATTCCGTTGCTTTTATGGACTCATTATCTATGGGCTTCTCCCTTGACGGGACGTCCCCCCGATTGCCTGCGAGCTTCTCCTCCTGTCTGTACGGTAATTTCTGTACAGCGCGACAGAGAGTCGAGTGGTTATGACGCAATCGTTAGCCTATTTTTACTAAAACTGTTTCTACGGGGCCATAATGTAACATAGAAGGTAATGGAGCCATTTATACATTGTCGTGTTTCTTTAGAAATAAATAATGGACAAATGGAGTCTTTAAACGCCTCAGATGTAAAGTTATTCGCTGTCAAAGTGACGCCAAAATGAATGGTAGTCAATGGAAATGCTAACGCAAGTGAAGTTCTGCTACAAGATGGTGGTACCCGGCCGGCTTCAACTTCCGGTCGATGGATTACCCCCTTGCATAAACATAGCCTAACTGTTTAGAAAGAAAACACAGAACGAATAGCCTAATGCGCATACGTCCATCTCGCGAATGTATACTCTCTTCTTCATGTCATCTGCATGCACCATTAGCCTCTTTTCCACTGGCCAGCGCGAGCACAGAGGCCGAAATCATACCTCACGGCACTCTTGTAAAAAATAAATCACTATACAAATATATCAGACGCTGCCATTTAGTCTTTATTTACAGACTTGGACACCACACGCGGCTATTGACTGACCACGAACAGGTAACTTAGCCTACTTGCATTTTTCATTCGTTAATGTCTCGCGGTCTTGCTGTTTTTTTGTTTGTTTTACAATTAAAACTAAAAGTCTGTTGTAACGCAAGCCTTACTGAACATGTACCGAGTAAAATATTACTGAAAATTGATTAGTAATGCCTTACACTACTGCGTTACAGCAAAAAGTAATATGTTACTGTAATGCATTACTTTTGTAGCGTTACTCACAACACTGTTAACAACATGTATTGGATTAAAATAAAGTAACGAGAGGAACGTCGCCCAACGCAACGAAGTAAAAGTACAGCTAGAAATGTACTCGAGTTAAAGTAAAAGTACCACATTTAAATCTATTCTTAAAAGTACAATTTTTCCAAAAAAACAACAACTGTAATGTAACTAAAGTAAATTTAACGAAGTAAATGTAGGCTTATAGGCTTCGTTATTAAAAGTATCCCAAAAGCACAATTCATAAACAAAACATTATGTAAGAGCTTGAACACCCATTTTTTGGCCATATACAAATTGTGTAATTAGTTAGTAAATAAAGTAAAACAAATCAGGTTGTTAAATATTTAATACAATTATAGCTTTAGAACTACATGCAATGTATGGTTTATTGCAAAACTTTAAGTGCTGAAAAACAAATATCTTTTTTTCCACAGAAAGAAGAAATTTGGAATGACACGAAGGAAAGTAAATGATTATAATCATTTAAAATTATAATTTAAAATTTTTGGGTGAACTATCCCTTTAAACTATAGGATTATAAAACTTTTTTCCATATACCTTTTAAAATGTAAAAGTAAGCTTTTGAGCTAAGTGACAAATAAGGCGATGAATAACTCATCAGTGAACCTCACCACACTTGTAGCATCTCAACTCCATTATTTGGGCTACTCAACATTCTGAACATTTTCAGTTTCATGTTTGGTCTTTCTGCACACTCTATGGCTCATCATCACGGGAACAGGAATTAGCTTTGCATCACAATTCTTTAACCTCAATCTGTCTGTTTGTGAGATTGGTACCACTGAATTCTTTGCTCTCACTATTTGAGACATGGCTCCCAATCAAGACATTGACAGATTTCTTAATATGACTAGGCATCACTGATCGTCCTCTGTTTCATTGTCTGATGTGTGTTGAGCGTTACCTGGCAGTGGTTCATCTTGTAACCTTTCTGAAGTACAAACCTCTTAGATATAGAGTGATCTGCTGCACTGCGGCCTGGATAATCACACTTGGATCCTGTTTGGTCTGCATGACTTGTTTTATATTTATACATGGTTCTACACTCTGCAGTTCCTCCTCTTCCTCTTCATTTAGTTGCTTTTTCTTGTGGCTGTTCTCAGAGCTCTGAAGCAGTCAGGACCAGGAGAGAGAGGGAGAGAGAAAGAAGAAGAAAACTCTCCTTTTTAAATAAAACATTAAATGGTTTCATTTTTGGAAGTTAAACTACTACACTTTTTTTCTTTAACAGCATTTATTTCTGGATAGAAGGTTTACTGCTTTTCTTATATTATTGTTCATGACGCGAGAGTATTCTAGTAGATTCAATGAAATGTGTCTCTGTACTATCTTCACAGTGTAAAATGGCTCAGAACACGTTAGTGTGACTTTCTGTCATTCACTGTTTATTTAGAGAAATATACAGCCACAAACTGTCTTACAGTTGTGCATTGCATATAAATTTACTAGA